TCTCCCCAATAATGATAATAAATCTAGGGATCGTTTGTCTGACATGGGACAATCTTTGACTTCTACTCCTGGTCAGTTCAATAACGCACCAATGGTTCAGGATGTGAGCACTAACTTTTATGAAGAAAAATCCAATGGATGGCAGGATGTGCAAAATAACACTGTGGATATGGTTAAAGATCAGGAAAGTAATGAAGTGCATTTACATGATCACAGAAAAGCCAAACCTGATAGATGTATGGGGAAAAATCTGAAAATGAAGAATCCTGAAAGTCCTAGGTCACCAGTTGATTGCATAACAGAAAGGGTTGATCAAGTCTTTGATGATGTAGATGTGGGTGATTTTGAAATTGCATGGGAAGACTTGCTTATTGGTGAAAGAATTGGACTGGGTAAGGCATATGATCTATTCTCTATTAGGTTTGGAAATCATGGTTTTGCAGAGATGGATTTTTCGTCCATAAACTGTCAGTTTTTTCAGTCTTAACTACATTATTGCTTTTAAAGGTTAAGAGTTATTAGGAGCAGCCATGTATGGTGTTTCACTGCTATATAGATATACTGTTTTCATTTCTTTAGGAGTTCTAATTCTTTGTGAATTTTGTTTTCTTGTGAATAGGTTCATATGGGGAGGTCTATCATGCTGATTGGAATGACACGGTTAGTTTTAGATACTATTTTTCCCTTGAAATTTCTAAAGTTGATCACTTCTTTCCTTATTTTCTTTTTATTTGTTGTTGTTTTACTTAAAGTTGGAGAACTTGTTCTTGTCTCTTTAAAATGTTCTCTTTAGGATGTTGGTTTGTCATTTTTATGTTGCTTTAGAGACTCAGTGATGGCTTATAATATGACAACGTGGATTAACATGAACATCACTGTAGAACCTTTTGCATAAACAATGCTCCAATAGTTTAGATTGTAATATAGAATTTTTAATAAGTGTATCATAATTGGCAATACCTTTCTTTCTCTACTTTTGGAATTGGAAGTTAATATCATTTTGACTTGAAAGCAACATCATTTGTAAAATTAAAAGTTTATTAAAATTTTCCTTTCTATCAAGCAGCTTGTAAAAGAGTTGTGTTTTTAAGACACGATTTCTCTACTTGTACCAATTTTGAATCAATAAGATATAAAATGAAAAATGGAGTTTCGAACTTCCTGGCTGGTAAAGGGTTTTGAACCACAGGAGGTTGCTGTTAAGAAGTTCCTAGACCAGGATTTCTCGGGTGCTGCTTTGGTTGGATTCAAAAGAGAAGTAAGTGAAAAATTAAACTCAGGATTTCTATTTTTAGCTTTGTCTCCAAATGATAGAAACTTGTATTGCAAGATGCTTTTAGTTTTTCTATTGTCTTTCATCTAGAATGCAAGACACCCGGAAAAGGAGACACCCGGAGTTCTCTCTTTTGGTGAGGTGAAAACTCATTTTCTTCCATTAATATTCTGCTATAAATAGCAAAAACAATACAATATAAAACAATACTTTTCTCACCTAGTATTTCCCTTATACAAGAAAATCTATCCAACATTTAAAGTAATATTATATTCAAAAGATTTGCTGCCATTTTGTGCAGCTCCATGTGGCTGTCACTTTACCGCCACTGTATTGCAGCTTTGACACCACAACTCTTAACAGAAATTGTAAATATATATGAAAGGAAATTGTTTACATCTGTACGTGTTCTTGTTTTCTTTCGTACTA